TGTTCACAGGTGATGTGAAGGGCTACAAAGGGCGCAACAACAGCAACAATGTTGACCTGAACCGCAACTTCCCCGATCAGTTCACAGCGACCACAGGGCCCAGACAGCCAGAGACTATAGCTGTGATGAACTGGCTGAAGAGAATCCCCTTCGTCCTGTCAGCCAACCTCCATGGAGGCATGGTGTTATTTTGGACTTTTAGTGATTGTAGTCTTTCAGGCAAACTTTTGATATTTATATATAGACTTGTTAACATTATTCACAAGTGAGATATGGAAAATCGACACGATTGAAGTTACTTCAAAATTTAAATAATTACTTCTGTTGTTTGAAGTGTACAATTTAAATCTGAATAGTAATGCTGAAATTTATTTGAATCCACTGGAGTGATTCAATCAGGTTATGTCTTGTCCAATATAATGTTTTACAATGTCACAGAGAGAAAAAAAAGGTTCATGTAGGCAATGTTTAAAAAACGAATTATACTGGCAACTCCCAAGCATTGGCAAGGTTAACATTTTTTGATATGGTGTATAAAAGCAAACTTTAAAAAGGGGCCGAAGTAGCCCAGGACTCTGAAAGGTTAAACACAAAGTCAGATGTTTTATTTTTGTCGTCTTATTTTTGTGTTGTGTAATTCAGGTTCCTTGGTGGTGAACTACCCCTATGATGATGATAAAGATGGGATTACTCAGTACAGCCAGTCCCCTGATGACAGGGTCTTTAAGCTGATGTCCAGAGCGTACTCACAGGTAACCAGACACTGCTGCTGTCAGATCAGTTTCACGCTGGGATAATGTCCTCTCGTGGTTTAGTGTTGTAGTTGAAAAAGAACTCTGGAGTTGAGTGCACTGTTGGAAGCCATGGGGTTTTTATGAAATGTGGTCTCGTTGTTGAGTTCTCACTTGTGTGTTTTTTTTGTGCACAGGAGAATCCTCTGATGCACAATGGACACCCTTGTGAGGAACTGTACCCTGATGAATATTTTGAGGATGGAATCACCAATGGTGCAAACTGGTACAATGTTGATGGTATGTCTTTATCTCAAATCCTTCTTTCTCACCCATCACATATTTCTCACAGGAGACCAGGGGAATCAGCCTTTATATTTGAGGTTTTTTAAGTTCATTCACAGAAAACAAGTTTTACTTTCACCTGTTCGTTGCCACTTTCAATTTCAAACTCTAAATATTGTTATTTATGTATTATATATAAGTTAATTTGCTTTGTCTACAAATTGGGCTTTAAATTGGTACAGTTTTGCAGTTATGTCCTGAAAATTGTTAGTAAATCTGGTACATCCTTGGAGTTAATCAGACTTTACAACTTGAGATGGACTTAACTTGAACTTTTTTTCAGGTGGGATGCAGGACTGGAACTATTTAAACACCAACTGTTTTGAGGTGACCATTGAGTTGGGTTGTGTGAAGTACCCTTTGGCCAAAGAGCTGCCTAAATACTGGGAACAAAACCGAAGAGCCTTACTTCAGTTTATACACCAGGTAATGAACATGAATCTCAACACTGCCCCAAGCTTCCCTCTCACTTTAACTCAGTTTTGCATGTACTTATGTGGTTGTGTGTCTCTTTAGGTCCACACTGGAGTAAAGGGCACAGTGTCTGACAGTAGGGATGGCACAGGAATACCCAATGCCACCATCACTGTGGCAGAGATAGACCACAACATCAGCACAGCTCAAACAGGAGACTACTGGAGACTTCTGGCCCCCAACACTTATTCTATCACAGCCTCTGCTCAAGGGTAAGATTGGAATATCAAGAAGAAGAACTGGAACCAAATTCATTGCCATCATTAACAAAAGATAAGATTTATTCACTTTTATATATTCTTCTCTGCGTCAAGATACATACCTCTGAGAACCTACGCCACAGTTTCAAAGGATAGAGCGGAGGTGGTGGACTTCAGACTCACACGTGTGCACTCAGACTCTAACGGCCAGTCTCAAAACGGACCCCAACCCACACAGAACCCGTCTGAAAAGGAGTTGCAGAGCTTAATCGAGGAGCTCTCTCTGGGGCAGGGTTTGGATCAGTTGGTTAAGAGCACGGCCACAGAGAGCAGCTTCCGCTACCAACGTTACAAAGAATTGTCCGGGTTCATGAGGGGTCTCACACTTAACTTTCCAAAAATCACATCCTTACACAGGTAGGCAGAAGTCCCCTTCCCCTGATGCACATCATTTCCCCTTGAGGGCACATTATTGTTTCAACCTCTGCTTTGTCTAATCTTACGATACTGACCTATATCTTTGTTTCTTCTCTGTGTCTAGTTTGGGCCAAAGTGTAGAGATTCGAACCATTTGGGCCCTGGAAATCTCAAACAAACCAGAGGAAGCTGAACCATCTGAGCCGAAGATTCGCTTTGTAGCAGGGATCCATGGCAATGCCCCTGTTGGCTCCGAGCTGCTGCTGGAGTTTGCTGCCTTCCTGTGTATCAACTATGGCAAGAACCCAGCCATTACTAAGGTGAGTCTCTTGGGAAGTGTTTGATATCTTGAACTTTTTTAAATTACACTGTATACGTATCAACTCTATCAAATTTAAAATTTTTAATAGAAATACATAAAATTCTTTGTTCAGATAAGATTTTTTATAGCCAGATTTCAGATTAGGCTATTACCATACATTTTTTTTGAATAATGAATAAAATTGCTAAAATACTTCTATCTATCTGTCTCTATCTGTAATTGCTCCTGTTCAATTTCCCTTCTGTAGTTGATCAACGAGACCCGGATCGTCATCGTGCCTTTGATCAACCCTGATGGACGAGAGCAGTCTGTTGAAAAACAGTGCACCTCCACTCAGGGTTTGACCAATGCAAATGGAAAAGATCTGGACACAGATTTCTTTGGTCAGTTCTATGGATTTGTGTATTTGTGAAAGACACTGAGACTATAGAAGAATATATCATTGTTTGTATGTGCATTTGCCATGGAAAGCAAATCCTGCTCTGACAACTGTCCACCAATTCTTTTCTTTTTAAGGAAATGCATCACAGCATGTAGTAGAGGCTCAGCCAGAGACCAGAGCAATGATGGACTTGATTCTAGAAAGGACTTACACACTCTCTGTAGCTCTCGATGGAGGCGCCCTTGTTGCTACCTACCCTTACGACAAGCCCGTCCAGCCGGGTAACAGTGCTATTTAAATAACTTATTTTTACTGCTGCTTCTTTTTCAGAGTTTGTGAATAATCTGTCTTTTTATTACAGTATATTTCATCTTTTACAAATCAATTTTATGTAGAGCATTTTAAGTGGAGCCACTTTTAAGATTGCCTATATTAGAAATCAATTCTTTAGGGGCAGTGGAAAAGGATGCTCCTAGAAGAAGAGTCTTAAACAAATAATTTTGATAATTTGTGGCCAGATGCCTTAACATTTGGTCTATACACCATCCAGTGTATTTCTATGACATTTACTGAAAACCTTTATGCTCTCATAAAGATAAACCCTCTCCAATTGGGCACTCAATGAATCTTCTTAGTGCTACTTGTGAACCAGAATAGCAACTATACTCAACAGCATGTATATTTTATTTAGAACCTGCTATGCTGTGCTTCCGAAACGATAATCCCCAAGTCAATTTAATTTGACCCTCTTACTTATAAGTTTCCCCTTACTTTTGTTTTGTGTTCACCACTAAACATTACACTTAGATGGCACTAGTGGGGCTTTAGACTTTGTTTTTATTTTATAACATAAAATGCTGAGAAATGCATCCACTGCACTAATTTAGTTTTCCTCACAGACTTGAAGTCTTTTCATTTTCATAATATTCAGTGTAGGACAAACCATTTTCACTCTGAATATAGATTAAGCGTCACTTTTGTATGCTTTCATTTAATCAACTTTTAAATCTTTCCAGTTGAAAACGAGGGCACATTGAGGTACTTGGCATCTGTTTATGCCATCAACCATCCCAAGATTCCCCTCGGATACACCAGATGTTCAAATAATGGGCAGAGTATGTACTTCGGACACAATAAGAAGATACTGTCATTTTAGTCATATAATAAGACAATTGGGGCTAATGACACTTTCCTGTCATGCAGCGGGATACATCCCCAATGGAGTCATGAGGGCAGCAGAGAGACAAAGTCACCTGGGGAGCATGAAGGTGAGTCAGAGCTGTTCCTTTGTTCACTACACAGTATATTTATTTTATCAAGATATAAGCTGAAATGAAAAAAGCACAGTTTGTTTTTCAGTGCAGTTGAACGATCTTGAGATCAGATTAGAAAGATCTGTCAGATCAAATGAGAAGTAAAACAAGTCCAACAGGCCTCTGCTCACTCACTGTTTCATGTGTCATCTCGTGTCTACGTGTCCTCTCAGGATTTCAGTATGGACTTTGGCCACTGTCCAGAAATCACAGTGTATACTGGCTGCTGTTTGTTCCCTCCTGCGGAGCAGCTGGCTACACTCTGGGCAGAGAACAAGAAGGCTCTCCTCAGCATGTTGGTGGAGGTACGAAGCAACTCAGCACCACAACAACAAATTTAATGGATCTCTGTGACATGGATGCATATCCAGTAGAGTTCACTTTAATGGAAAATATTGAATATTTTAAATTATTGTGTGATGTCATACACCATTGTAACTGCAGTGTTTTAGATGTGGACAAATGAAATTAGTTAGTGCTCATCTTAAGACATAATTGTAATTTTCGGTATAAATTGTAAAGTCTTCACATCAAGTATTTAAGATTTTTGATGACCTGGTGCATAATTTTCTCATCACCTGCTTTGTAATTTCCCTCCATTTCTACATCCTTCAGGTCCATAAAGGTGTGCGTGGCGTTGTGAGGGAGAAGACCGGGAAGCCCATTGTTGGGGCAATCATTGTGCTGAACGGAAGTGTGAGAGTGTTTACTACAGAGGGCGGCTACTTCCATGTGCTGCTGGCTCCTGGAAACCACATTATTGAAGCTGTTGCAGATGGCTACCAACAACAACGTCAAGAGGTATACAATTACACCAAAGTCAAGCAATATGTGGGCTAAGAATGTAATATTCCTCAGGAAGATGGGACAAAAAGAGGATATGGTTATATACAGATAATCTGTTCAGTTCAGCCTCAAATCAGCAACGCCACCTCCACCGTCAGGAAGACTTAATCAGACCCAAAATTGGGCTGATACTCCTAGTGTGCAGCAGGCATTAATTTTTACTCTTATTTAAGTAGCCATGAAATCCTATGTGGAGATAAAATCAATTTTTACCTTTTGAAACATGCATATTCATTATTGTAGTTGTAAGGCATTACTGTCATGAAAAACATTAGAAAAAACACAAGATATGTCTCATGGTACAACCTCACGCAGTTGTTAAAGAGGCAGACTTTCAATTATTTACGATCTATGAACCAAGTGTAAATAAAAGGTTCAACACATTAGAAACTCAAGCCTGGAACCTCATTGATAAACAGGATTAAAAGGTTTTACAATACAAATTAAAATAACACTAAACAACAGTAACTCTTTCCTGATGATTTGTTTACATCAGATATGTTTAAATAACACAACAACTAAATTCAGTTTTGTATTTGTGCCTCAGATGTTCACTGGTTTATTTAACTAGTTACATTATGCCATACATAAGCATGAAAAAAAGATGTATTAAGTCTTGCTTTAGATTGAATACAGATTTTTGTGACAATAGCTAATGGAAAGTTGGAATTGACTCTGGCCCTGACGTAACAGCATGAACTTGATGAACATGAACTTTTTAACAGTCCAGCATTCACAGATGAGGTTTAGCATAATTTGACTGTGTCAACAGTTTGTAAGAAATAACTTAACTTTCAGAACTTTTTCTTTGACATAATTGAATTGTGAATCTGTCTTCCACATTACATTACAAGAGAAACAAAAAGGGACAGTTAACAAAACAAAATATCAAGTGACTCAAGAAAAAAACTAGCATCTGTCATAGAAAGTCTGGAAGAATTTCACTCTTTTACTCCTTAACTGTCAATGTCTATGAAAGGTGTAGGACGGAGCACACAAAACCTCTCCATCACCTCTACTCTTCCATTTGGCTTTTCTGAAATCTGAAGCGTCGGGTAGGCCAGCTCCTTGAACATCTGCTCCTTAATGTTACGCCCCAGTTCCAGACTGTAGGCTGTGAGCTTCCCGCAGGGACTGAAGAGCAGGGGATCCACCACTGAGTGATACGTCTGCTGGTACTCTGGTACCGTGAAGCCGTGGATCATGACAAAGCCCGGCTTAGTGGATGACACACAGGTGGATGTCCTCTCTTCAGGGGAGAGGGCTCCTTCATCAGGTGACAGTTTGAGATTGGGAATTACAGCAGCGTTCCTTATATACCTGTCGTCCAGGGGTTTCTGAGACTGGGTTTCCCTCTGCTCATGCACAAAGTCCAGAATGTGACTTGGTGCCAACACAGATGTCCTCTCCTTAATAGCATCCCCATATTTCTTAGGACATCGAATACTCCGTCTTAGACCATAAGGACGCATCTCACACCTCTGCAAATCAAAGGCACATTAGTTTCAATGGATGTTTCTGGTTCTTTTGTGACTCTTTGTAAAACAACAACAAACAATTCAAATAAGGAAAAAAGTTAAAGGAATGAGGATCTGAAGGTGCACTTACTCTTTGGGTGTGTGTTCACATTATATTACTGAATCGGGTCTGAAACCACATGGTTAGAAATTCTCCTCTCCTGAGTTTAGAGTTTACTTTCCCCATATTCAAAACTGCACTTCAATAATTACTATGAATACAAAAAGTGAGATTCTTGTAAATTACTTCCAATTTTTTATGAGCCAGTGTTTAAATCCTATTTTCCTCATACAAGACAACCTGTACTAGATTATACTAAGCAGTCTCACCTGCAGACGAGAGGTGTTAATGAAGTCATTAACAGCCTCACTTCTGTGTGGAGCTTCAGCACAGAGCTGAGTGCATTGTACCTTCATTTGGAAAAGTAGCCTGGATGGAGGAAATGTGGTAGAACCTGATATTTTCTTTTAGTTGTAGTTTCTAGTAGTTTTTTGCATTTTGAGTCCTAGTATTAAGTGAAATTAGTAGAAATACCACTTAAAGGTCCAGTGTGTAAGATTTAGGTGAAAGGGAACTATTGTCAGAAATTTAATGTAGAATGATCCTCATGATGTTTTCACTAGTTCGTTTCATCAAAATTGTATGAATTGTAGTTTTCTTTACCCCAGAATAGGCCCTTTATATTTAAATACTTTATATTTACATGGAGGGGGTCCTTTCTACAAAGACAAACTAAACACCTTTTGAGTATTTATGACAACTGAAAGCTGCCACAGGTTCTCTTACATGTTTGGAAGGAGAGGGTGAGATGAGGGGTATTCATGCAACTTCAACACTAGAATTACAAAATTCTACACACTGTAACTTCAAACAGAGAAAAACTAATCTTGATGTTTTGAATTTCAAATGCACTATGCAAGTACTTTTCAAGTCAGAAATGTTTGTCCAACTACATTATTGTTTTTAACATTTATGTGTTTTACTATAAATCATCATCATCATCCCATTATACTGAAGGATTGCTGAAGTGTTTCCTCTGTGTTCCAGGTGGTGGTATCTCACTATAAAGCTGCTAGCTCCATCATCATTGAGTTTGACATGGACAACAGTATCTTTGGGCTGCCCAGAGAGTTTGTGGTGGCCAGTGCAGGTAAGCATCAGAGTGTAGATACTTCGGCACCTGAAAGGGTGAACCCTAGATTTTAAGTGAAATTTGGCTGTGGATTGGTCACAATGGTTTTGCTGATTTATTTATTTTTTAACACTGCACATGTCAAAACTCAGTGCAGCTTACTAACTACTAAGTCTAACTGCATCAGGCTTGGGTCAGGTTTGGACACAATGAAACCAAATGCATGTCTTGAGGTCTGGGACAGAAAAATGTGGCACAAAAAGCACTGAAGTACCTGTCAGTACCATACTTTGTAGCTCTTATCCCACAACTCTTGCTTGTGAGCAGTCCATTAATCAAACAGTTCTTAAATGGTTTTTGACTCCATCTAGTACATTGGTGCTGTTTCTTGAACACAGATGATAGGTACTGAATAACTGCCTCCTCTTTCTGAAATACTAATTATACTTTCAGTGTTTGTGAGCAAACTGTTTAACTCTACATTTTTTCTTTAACACTCAAGTCTTATGGGATCTTTGTCATTGTTACTTTTGTTTAATGTGTCTAATCATCTAAAAGCTATATGTATTTATGTTCATTAACTGATTTACTATCATTTGAAATGTTCACTATGTAAATGCTCTCCCAGCTCTAAGGTTGTGTGTATACAGACATGCTAATCTGTGTATTTCTCTCCCTCTGTGCAGCGGCCTCCATGACAGCACTGATGGTGACAGCGTGCATTATCTGGTGTGTGTGTGCAGCTAAGTCTAATCGTCAGAAGGACGGCTTCCACCGTTTGCGACAACACAGAGACGACTATGACGACGAGATCCGGCTCACGTCCATGGGCTCTAAGAAGTCCCTGCTCGCCCACGAGTTTCAGGACGAGAGCGAAAGTGACGAGGAGACGCTGTATGCCAATAAAATCTGAGAACAACGGCCCTGGTTTTTGCTGTTGGCTCAGAATTTTTTTATTTTGATCTCCCTCCTTCAAATTGAACTTGTCCAAAGGAACAGGTTGAACTTTGGGCACCATCCCAGTCCATCTTTATGGGTAAATACACTTTTCTTCTGTTATACCAACAAGCTCCGAGCACTTGCTTCTGGTCACACAGTTATCAGTTCAACCAAATTATTAGTTAACAGAACATCGTGCTGATGTCTGGAGTGAAGGGCTTGCTTTTTTTGTGATGATCTCTGCTTGACTGGTTCAACAAAAGGAAAGAGAGAAGGTGTTAAAGAGGAGCGAATACAAAGGTTTGTCCCACTGTGGCTCTCATCCGTCCTTTTGTTTTTGAGTCCCGCAATTTTTTTATTGTATTTTTTGTTTTCCGAGCCATCGAGAGTGCCCTCGAAGCTTGCTACCTGTCCCACTCGGCTGAGGAGTCAAGCCACAAAGTCCAAATGAAACTTTTTTTTTTTGGGGGATGTGTAAATGAACTCTGAATGAAAGTACTTAATGTCACGTGATCTCCTCACTGATATCTGTCATCACCACCCTTTTCTTTCACTGACTTTTGAGCTAGGAAATGTTTATTGTTTATTGTTTATTTTAGATGGCGTTGAAAGGTTGAAGTGTCCAAGCCTTTTGGAAGACTGAATCCAATACTGTGCCTTGGCTTCTGTAAAGCTTCTGTTTACAGTCCGGTCTGGCTGCAGTATGTAACAGAAAGTAGTGAATAGATGATTCTCAGTCCACCCTATACTCAGGCGGTAGGAAAAGAGACATGATGATGAAAAGTCTAATGTTGCACTGTATCTACACAGATGACTCTGGGCTGCCTGACCTGGTATCAGTAGTTTATATTTTATTTTCCAATGAGTCAAAGATGTGGGCAAAACCCTAATGCAAGCTTCAGGGAGAATCTGTTACCATCTTCAGTTAGTGCAGGAACCTCTGATGTGTGACGGATGCCATCTGCACTTGGAACGAGTATTTTCCCATATCATTGGCCAGGTAATTTTGAAAAGAATGTATTTTTTATTTTTTATTTAACAGGTTTGTTTTAGGATAATTAAACTGTCTGTGCAAAATGACAGTTTGACACGTCACATCGAGTCTGTGCCCTGTATTGCGCCAGGAATGCGCATTTTTACCAAGTATATAATCCCTCACCGTGAGGATTATCAAGTATCGTCTTCATCTGTGTCTCTTCTAAGCGATACTTTTAACACGAATGTCACAGCAGCTTTGTCCATCCGTTAATGATAAATGATAAAGTGTCAGAGCCAACCACATTACATTAATTAAAAGTGCAAATAAAGTCATATTCACAAAATGTATTGTCAAACAGAGGAATTCAATCAAAATGCATTTGACTAAGATGTGATTTGAAGTTCTGAAAAGGCTTTCTACATTAAAGGTCTAATATCCACTGTTGTAAATCATCATAGTTCTTTAGACAGTTGTGAGGGACACTGAAAAAGAGGTTGATAACAGACTGCCTTCATGGATTGTAAAGAGCAGAGTTGTCTGGTATGAAATAATGCAGTAATTTGCAATGTCTCATGATAGACAAGCTTTTTTGACATCAAAATCTGACCAGGGTGTATGGACTAATCCAGGGAAATGGGTTCAGGTGCAGGTATGCAAACCAGAGGGTCAAGGTCAGCTATCTGTTGTTAATCCTGTGCTCAAATATCTGTTCTAGCCTAGAAATTCACCTTGCAAATCAAGGGAAGAGCCAAAAACCAAAAGAAACTGGTTTTCCTCATATTAGAAATCCATGTGGAACTTGTTCTGACATTTGTCCTCACACAGTAGTTTCAACAAATACAAGACTTTGCCTTGATTTCAAGTTACTTTTAACAAATGCAGATATCAGTAAATCGAAACCAGGTGTCTGCGTACAGACTGTTTTGTGCATTATTTTTCTGTCCTACTCCATGTCTGTGAATGCTTATGTATGAGTTTTGAAAGTTTAGCTTGCGCCAGGGTCATGCAGGGTTGGTGTAAGGATTTTTATATAAACTGGAATCAACTGTAAATATGGTTTGGCAATTGTGAATGAAGGGGAATATAAGTGAAATTCATGTTAATCATGAATCTAAACACAACAAAACATTTCATAAAGAACCTCTGTGTGCTTGTGACCTGCTAACATCCACAACGATTCATCTACACAATGAAATAAAACCTTTCACTATGTGTCTCTTGTATTTGTGTTGCTTCATACAGTGCTGCTGCTAGTAAATATGATGAAGAGACCTGCTTTGTACTGATAGGTTTGTTTTGCACAGTGAAAAGTTCTATCTGAGTAAATATGTCTAAATGATAGCATGTGCTGGTAATGAGCATGAAGACAGAGATGTTGAGATAAGAAGTTGTGCTTTTCATGTGATGATCAGATGTTTTATTCATGAGGTGATTTTGGAGCGTCCACATCACTTATCTGTGGAACGAATATAATAAGTCATGTTCATGCATCATTGTGCTCAAATGTTACTTTTTGTTTTTGTTCTTTGCATGTACATGTGTGAGTTAAAGCAGCATGGAAAGTGAACAAGATTGAAAAGTGCCTTGAATGTGCAGTTCAATTACCAATGTTTGAGCCATATCAGAAGAAAAAGAGTCAATACCTAGTATAAGTGCTGCAATGCTTTTGCAGGATGAATCTATAAACTGAACATACAAAGGAACCTTTTACTGATCAAAGTGGTCCATAGGTGGCACTGTTTATACTCCTCCTTTTTGCCCTTTTTTCCAACAGTCACACAAAAGAGATTTTTAATAATGTGCAAAGATTATCCAGTTTTACTGATAGAAACAAAGCATTGCACTTTACTGGGTGAGTTTATATAGTGGTGCAAAGACTCATTTTATCTATAACACATTAAAAATAAAACAAATGTACATACATTTTTAGAAAGAAACTCACTAGAACAACCAACAATCATGACTGATTCTGTATCCTCAGCTATGGTAATGCTAATGTTTGCCAGAATCATTTACTCAGTAACAATAGTGACATAACTTAACAAAATGTTAAAAATGTTGTGGTAACAGAACAATGAAATCATTTATCCTGTCTGTTATCCCTCTGAGAGGCATGTGAACACACTCCTGCTAAAGTGAGTACTGTACTCACAGCTAAACCAACGTTTAGGCTGCAAAGCACCAAGTACATGTATTTTGTGCTGTATTTTTGTTTGTCGCATTAAATCTTTGCACTACTGCACTTTATAATTACTACAGGACAATACTGTGTACTGGTTATACCTGAACTGTCTGAATATTGTGTCTATTTCACTGTGCACATGCCTATTCTGAACGTTTCCCTGTAGGAGAACAAAAGTGTGCAGAAGCTACATAAGTCAATTAACTCAATCAAGGCTACCGATACTCATGCAATTGTTCAAATGACACTGAAAGTTGTTTTATCCTTTTTGTTTTTCACATCTTTTAGCTTATCTTAGCTTGACAATGAAACAGTGAGAGCTGTATTCTAAGAGATCATTCAGTGACAGAATTGTGTAGGAAATACTTACTTCTATCTTTAGCACTGGTGCATGCAGTCTGCGTGGTGTTCTGCCTGACAGCCTCAGTTGAGGGTACAGGTAGAGTTCAGGTGGTGTACTACCTGACAGACTCAGCTGAGGGCGACAAAACCATTATTCAAAATGCACCGTCTTCTACTGACACGTGACACATCCCGGAAGTTAGTGACGTCGCAGAACAACAAAGATGGCAGGACTAGGAAGCAGCAACTACTGGGAAGGTATGAGAGCCACACGAGACTCATATCACTCACGACACCCTCTACAACACCGCCCGGGAGACTTTTCATGTTGTTAACAGTGTGTTCGTGAGCGCAGCTGCCGCCATGTTAGTCTCATAGGTCAGAGGTTTAAACGCGTACACATCTACAACGGCGGGCTAAGCTAACGGTGGCTAACACGTCGCCGCGTAAGTTACTGGTTGAATCAGTGTGGCCTCTTCACAGCGTGAAGCAGCTCGGTACAAGTTGAGTTAAATCATTAGATGTGAATGAACACAATGCACACGTTATATATCCATTCATATATTAAACCGTCGTTATGTTGCTATTGATGACAATTATGTTGCAATGACTGATTGATATTGTTTTAGCACACAGCCTTAGAAGAAAGATCACATCTTCTACTATAAAATCCTTAATGTGACACCAAACATAGTTGTCGTAAATTATGATATCCAAGGTAACTAGCAACTACAGCGACAAAATACATATAGAGGAGAGAAATACAATATTCTCCACTGAATTGTTGCAGAGTTTAAGTATTAAGTTGCATAACATTAAAATTGAGTAAATGCACATGGTTACTTTCCTCCAGTGAGTGTTAAATTGTTTTGTGTGTGTGTGTGTGTGTGTGTGTGTTTCAGACCTGCGAAAGCAGGCCCGACAGTTGGAGAATGAACTTGACCTGAAGTTGGTCTCCTTCAGTAAACTGTGCACCAGCTACAGCAGCTCCAGGGATGGACGCAGATCAGACACGTGAGATTAAGTCTTCTGTCACACCTGCAGAGTTTACAGCAGTTTAAGACTTAAGTCAGTTTACATTCACAGTCATACAGGGCATGAGATGTTCCAATGTATTTGGTAATTTTTTTAATGACACAAATATTATTCCAACATTTAATGAAGAATCTCAAAGATCATGAAGGGACAGGGTTTGGAGATAGTGGTGGAAGTTTGCTTTCACAGTTAAGAGTTGTAAAGTGAGATCATGAGGGATAACTTTCAGATGTAGATCTTAATATCATAACACTATCACACGTTGAATTTTTTACAACTAAGAGACTATTCACACGAGCTGTAAAGATGAAACTTTGAGCTGTAGCACATTCAAACTTTGATTCTTTAAAATCTGTCATCTGTATATCATTTACTTCAACTGGTGGGAGACCCAGGGTCAACCCAGAACATCCCGAAGAGATTATACTTATCTCAATTGAAATGAGTTCATATAAACAGCTTTTCTAATTATTTTTCTTTCTTTGATTTGACTCTTCAAGGTCAGACACCACCCCACTGCTGAACAACTCTACCCAGGACAGGATGTTTGAAACCATGTCAGTGGAGATTGAACAGCTGCTGGCCAAAGTAAGTAAATTCTCATGGGCCAGTGGATGGCAAGCGACAGCACTGGATTTATGTCAGGGTTCTTGTCTTTCAACGAGCAAAAAGCAAACAGCTGACTCTGCTTCTTTATGTGGCTTAACATTGGACACAGAATGATTAAATACGTTTGAGTTCAACTTAAAACTCTACATTCTTCCGTTCATCCTATAATTTCTTAAGGCAATGATGCAAATAGAAAATATTAAGTCTAAACAATGGCTGTGTTTTAATAGAGAAATCATCTAGTTTGGACTCCAAAAGGATGTGTTTTTTGTACCGTGTTCCATACTTTAAATATTGAACATGAAAGACATTCCTATGATATAGACATTACATTCAAATTGTGAAAAATGTAACCTAACATGCACAGTTTTATGATGTTTTGCTCCATGTTGTATTCAGATTCATGTTTCTGTTTGTTTTTGTTTTTTTAACCTTGTCTGCTGACTGTTCTGTTGCATGTATCTTTTCCATTGGTGTGGCTACCCATTTATTCTGCATCTCTCTGTCAGTTAACTGCAGTGAATGACAAGATGGCGGAGTACACCAATGCCCCAGGAACGTCTTCTCTCAATGCCGCACTCATGCACACGCTACAGAGACACAGAGACATCCTACAGGTTTGGCCTCAGATTCCATTAAAATGTTTCTATAATCCTTCTATTTTCAATACTCTTCATTTTCATGATTGTTTAACTCTCAGGATTACACACATGAATTCCACAAAACCAAAGGAAACTTCTTGGCCATACGAGAGAGAGAAGACCTGCTCGGGTCCGTCAGGAAAGACATCGAGTAAGTACTCACTCACACCAGCATGTGTAGTATGGAATATGTTGTAAGATGTATAATATGTACTGACTGGTAAAAGTACAATAGAACACAGGTTGTTGTGTTGTGTTGTGTTCACTCACATCGGTAAGAAGAAAAGTGAAACAAGTATGTTCACTGATGAAGTGAGTGATATGCCCTTAAGTCATCTCCGCATTTTTGTGAATTAATGAGCAAACTGCTAAAACAAGAATGAAAGGGAATAGATTTGAATGCAGTTTTCTGATCCACCCTGAACCATATGATATAGCGTGCCAGTTAGACAGCTGTAGAGAGAGCTGCCACTAGTCTAGACAACTGAGTTACTTTTACATCAGTATTTTCTCTAAAGGTTTACATTTTTAACATTTTACTCTTTTTGTGTAAAGCTGTAACAGTTTGAGTAAATTCTTGGCTGTTTGACAGCTTCCCTCTTCACTTAATTTCTGTAGTAAAGATGTCAGGAGACACTAAAAAGTCCTTTCACTTGTCACAAATTTATTTCCTTTGTGGCAGCAGAACATAATACACCAACCTTTGGTTTAAAGTGGAGTGACCAAACACAGACAGACTCTCTAGACAGATTGGAAAAAATGTACCAAAGGTTGCAACTTTACGGCTACAAATGACCTATAATGCATCACTACAAAAGACAATAGTTCCACTGGTAGTCACTCTGTTCGAAAAGAATATCTTTTGTAATTAATTTATACATAATTCTTTGCTTGTGAAATATAAGACAACCTCCATTTTTAAATGTTTTCTCCATTTAGAAAAAATATTGTCTTGTATTGAAGCCAATATGATCCAGATTATAAGAACACTGTCAGCATAGTTTTCTGTTTATTCAGTTTAGGCACTGCATCTCATGACGGTCAGTAAAAAGCTGTTAGCGGCCATGGAAGAATAAAAACTGTAAAGTATTATTCATAGTGCTGTTGTGTTGTAAACCTTATTCCTTAGAGGGACAGTTGAACCTTGACTTCCACTTGGCACACTCTTGAAAAATGTTGGTTATTAAAACTGGAGAAGAGTTATGGGCTCTCTGGCCTTGTATTGAGAAAGTGTGTGCTCTCCTCAGATTGGCTCAGTTGTGAGTCAGTGTATTGAAATGAGATGGAAGATGGAAGCTCCCCCAGACCATGACTCTTGTCGTTTTTTTGTAATGACTTATTGATCTATAAGACGCAGTGGAGAGTTAACGGTGAGGACTGCAGGATTCCTATTGATCCCCCTCCATCCATCCTTTATGCAAATGGTATGCGGCTACCTCATGCAGGCACACACGTTCCACAGACCTCACAGTCACTGTATTAGATCATTATTTCCGATTAGACTCACATAATGCAAAATTAAAATGGAGCTGAGCCCCAAGTGTGTTTGTTTCATGGTAGCTTGTAAGGCTTGATTTACTGAATTAAATTTTCATGTTTTTTTTTACCGGTAAAAATCTATTTTTACATGTGGTCATCGATGAATTTGCACATGGAAGATTTTCGGGATATAAACGCGGCTCCTTTCCCCACGTTGACTAAAGTGCCTCTTTAGATTATTATCTATTTAATGTAGTACTACTGGTATTATTGTCCTATATTCTAAAATTGTTACATCCGCCGAGGAGAATATTTTTTCATCTGTGTTCTTCTGTCCTTTTTTTTTCTTTCTTTTTTGTTACTGGACTGATTACCATGAAACTTAGTGGTAGGATGTGGTATAAGTCATGGTAGAACATGCTTAGGGGGCAGATATTTATGTTTGTGTGCAGTTTGGTGCTGATCCAAATACAAATCTGGATCTAGTGCATTAAAATGTGGTTTCATGAGGGGATTGTCGAGCCTTGGCGGAGTTGTGATCTTTACTGAGTCCAATTCTAGTTCTTGTTATTAGTATAATAGTAAGTAGGATCCCATTAACACCACGTTTTAAGAATGATAATGTTGTTGTCTCAGTATTTATCATGCATATTTGTGCTAGCAACAGGAGGCATTATGTGTTATTCACTCAAAGATGAACTGATTGTAATTTTGTCTTCTAAGGTCAAGGTCACTGTTACCTCTCAACATCACATTTTGGCCATAACTGAAGCATATGCTGATTGTAAGAAAATGTATGGGATAAAATGATGAATCAAATCCATTTATTTGGAAATGGTTTAAGGTCAGATTCACACACACTAGAGTCATAAAACACTAGAGTCAGGAACAGAAGGGAAGAATGGACCATTTTTCCTATATCTTGACTCTTATGCAGAGGCATGAATCTGTAAGTTGGTGAATATAGTTTGTGAAAGACATGTATGAGCAAATGAATTCCTAATCCACATATAAATATAACCTTTAAGTTCCTTTATGTTTTTAACCATCTTTTCTTTTACACAACAGACTTTATCTTTTGATAATTCAAAGTCACGCTGCACCCAAGCAAACACATTTGAACTTTGCATCTCCTCAGTAACATCCCATGAGGTCAGCACTACATGCAACGGTTCATTCAATCCTCTCATTAAGTAACCCCGCTGAGGAGTTCCACTGACCCCTCTAATAAGCTCAGTGCTGATGATTGTAATGCATAGAAATGAGCCAGTGTTGTTGACCCTGTGCTCAGCCTAACGATGACTAATGTGCCTGGGGGCTGCTAATGAGAGAAGCATCTGAGCTCATAGGTGAGAGAATTACAATGGCTGCTGTTACGGGACAGTGCAATGAGTTGAGTCATGATTTACTTGAGACAGTTTCTTCTGGAAAACAATATGTACCCAAACACTATTCACTATTTGATTATTAAGTCTGAGACCGGTCAGTTTTTGGCTTGAGCAGTGTAGTAAGGACCTCCATCATAACAGCAGCATAACAATATAATTCCGTATACTAGTGTCCATTATATTACACTACAGAATATATTGTGTTTGAAAAGCAAAATATGATGGCCAGTTCAAATGTGTGTCCACCCACACCCAGTTTTGAAATATGTCATTGATAAAGTGATGTATGTCTGTCAGGGCTGAGCATTTTCTCCTTTTCGTCAGGTAGAGGGCAGTAGAGATCTTGGGCATGAAGTAGACATGGCCAGGAAGCTGTTCATTGTAGATGTTTATGCGTATTAAAGTTGTTTACAATACACACACACAAAAATCCACACCAATTAAAAGAAATAGTGCACATAGTCTAATTTGTGCAAATGCCTTAATTTGCAATGTGCTACAAGATTTGAGAGAGCTTGCAGGCCCTGTCAATGAAACATATTCACACACACACATGCACGTATACATTTCTTGTGCCATTTATAACAGTTATATGGAGCTGAGTTGAGCTCAGACCTAAATCTCCCTCTGCTCATGCTCTCATTTTAAAATGCCTGCAACAAAAATGACAGCTAACCATGTGATTGTCTTTGGTGCCCTTTTAAACAGCACTGCTATAGAGTGAGGAAGCTGTCACTACAGGCAATTCTAGCCCCACAAAAGCATCAGCCCTGTCGGTGGGACAGCCATGCAGCCCGGGCTGAAGGCAGCCACTGTGGAGTGTGCTGTGTGTGCACTGAATATAGTATTTCCATTCAGTGGCTCTGAATGGTGCACTGGGTATGAAGAAGGCACATTTGCTCTTGGACCGCTTCGAGTTATCTGGGCGGGGTAGGATGTTTGTGGTATATGTGTGTGCAGACTCTTTTCTTACACAGGTCCCCCTCCTCCTCCCTGTTCTCTATCTCATTCTCTCCCAGCACCAGGGTGGGGCTGTTAAATGACCAGAAACCCAGGAGAGAGCTGGGAGTCAGCTGCTCATGGATGCTGAGAGCTAGAGTTGCATGAAAGAGTGAAAGAGACTGGGTGGCGTGATGTGTTTACTCTGTGAGTGGTATAACAAGCCATCCATTAACTTTGTCTGCCTTGCTAGCAAATCGCTCAGATCTCTTTTACTAACCTGGGGTTGTGTGGTGCTGTCAATTTGTGGATAGAATCAGTGGTCTCTTACAAAGATAATGCAATCAATGTTTTATCAACCACTTTAAAACCCTCACACTCTCATTCTGAAACATCTTTCAGATGTGGTGCCCATTTACAAAATGTAATTCAGACGCTAACATTTTTTTAAACATTATTTTACACTGAAAAACGGGTAACTTAATGGTTCTTTGTTGAGTCAGTGGTTCTGCTCCTATACTCTCCATGTTAATTATTTATGGCTGTTTAAATCTTTCAGTTGAAGTGGGTAGTTGATGAGTTAAAGGGAGGGTTAGAAGACCAGAGAGTGAGTAACCCAGCCTGTTGAGGTCGGTCCAAGCTCAGTATGGCATTTTTAGCCAGGATTGTAACATGCTGAGCTGTGATTTTTTTTTTTTTTTTTTTTTTTTTTTTTTCCTTGCTGCCACATAACAGGGGAGAACTTGGCTGTCTTGCTATGGCTCTGCTCAATAACAAGATGACTCTGCCCATCCAAGACATACTTTTGCTCATAGGTTCAACATATGTGGTCATGCAGGTGACTAAAAATAACTTTTGCTTTATTCTATTTTCACTATGTTGGCAGCTCTTGCTGTTCGTTCTCCTCTACCACCTCTTCTTACTCTCAACTAACACACACTGCTTGTGCTGTTTTCTGTTCTGCTCGACAGCAGCCATTCTGGTGCTGTATTTGCTGTGTTAAGTTACTCCTAATGCAAACTGAATATTTCCTGCTGCTGCTTCACATTAAAAGCTTTCCACTGGTGAACCACAGGAGGCTTTTACTGTAAAGCAAGTACAGGGATTGCTGTCACATTGGGGCGGTCTGCCATATGATAGAGGCTTCTAGAGGTGGAGCTAATTAAAATATTAAAGTATAGTTTTGCCAAGATAAATCTAAAGGCTGGTGAAATTATTAATAGGGGAGGAACAAAGAAGTTTTGAAACACAAATCTGTTGTCAGTTTTATAATTTTTGGATTGGAATGTTGGATACTTTGAACACAAAATAAAATCATGTGAGAAGGTTGAAGGGAAAAAGCCATGAGCAACTTGGAGCCCTCTGAAATGTGACTCTGACAGTACACTGCTTTTTTGGAAAACACCAAAAAAGTTCTTAAACAGTGTGTTGTATTTTAAAAGCTTGCTGTATTATTCATTTTGTAAAAGTTTCATCTTTCAACTAACAAGAAAGTAAAGATGTCCAGTAACTGTAGGGGAGTAGAGGGAGCAATCATTTCTTCTACAGTGTAGTTTGAATGGAATGGAAGTATTAAGTATGATACTCCAGTAAACTCAAAATTATACTCAAGTACAGCTTTGAATAAATGTTCTTCAGGGTATTGATATATTTACATCCACATAAAGAGTTTTTGTGAACAGACGTGTCAGAGTTTTGGCTCCTCATCAAAAGGACTCAACCATGTTTAACAACTGTCAGCTCAATCTGTCAGAAGACTGTAGTTGGAGCTGTCTGAGCTGTGGCTGTGAAGTCTGGATCTATGCAATGTTTTTGACTTCAATGACATAACATGCGTCATTGTCTGGATGTAAAAAAAAAGAAGTGCTGTTCTCTTATTGTTTCTCTTTGCTGTCACATTCCCCTAAAACCAAATGTTGTTTGATCACTTTCTTTAATCTTTTTCTTAACTTTAGCTAGAAGGCAGAGCACCTGGTTTGATAAAATGGGGAAAAAAGTGAATGTGACAGTAAATGCAATGAATTCAGCAAATGATTGAGCCTGTAGTGTAAACCTTTGCCCACGTAGTAAAGCACATACATACACATTTGTTTGTTCAGTAGGATAACAGACGTTAAAATAAAAGATCACCTCAAGATATTTGTCCTTTCTGTGGGTATTTCTAATCTTTCCGAAGGAATTTTTAATTTATAATAATGTATCTGCTTTCCCTTTCCAGGACCTATAAGAGCGGCTCCGGGGTCAACAACAGAAGAACAGAGCTGTTTCTAAAGGAGCATGAACACCTGAGAAAGTAAGACTCCAGTAACTTTGCCAAGTTTAAGATTTTGAATGTATCAATATTCCAGGTTTAAAATTCACATCAGGAAAACAAAGCTGGTAACTGTAGAAACCATTGCTGTTGCTGATGTTGGCTTTTGAAGCTCTCCCACTCCTCAGTACTTCATCTCTGTATGCTTCTACTTTCAAACAGATGGGAGACGTTTTCATTACATTGCATTCTTTTATCTAGAGGTTGATGTATAATTTAGCATAGAGAAAATAGAGTTGATTGTATCTAAGTGGTTTCATTTGTAGTTAAAACTAAACTCAGTTGTGCTTTGCTTATCAGAAAGTATCAGATGGGGCAGAATTGGGGTGGTGGGGTCTTAAATTTTATTTTATTCTCTATGACATGGCTTTGCTTTTTATGTGGCAAAAAGTTTGGTATACTTATTCATACTGACACAGTATGACAAACCATGATCTGCCAGCAACCTAATTAGTGTCCTTCTGTTATTTGGCTGACTCTCAAGCACCGCAGAACAGCATGAGACGGGAAAGTTTGCAAAATCTGTGTGTACCTGTGTGTGTGAGAAGCACCCCATGTGGAAAGTAAAATTAAATGTCAGCAGTACATACACTTGCACAACAAAAACATTGCACAGGTTTGAGGAGCCCAGCTTATAATATGGACATACCTGGTATGTATAAATATATACATGCACTGTATAGAGCTTACTCAACAACACGAACACCTGGAAAGTACAAAAAAACAACTCAGTCTAATAAAATAACTCCCAGTCCCAGAGAAATATTTAAAATGTTAAAAAAATCAGTTCATCTTTGAGCCTTTGTACCAAAGAAGTTCACAGTGTCATCGACTTTTTACCACTAAAGTCTTAACAGTTCATCCGTGAGTCCAAGTAAAAATTTGTAGCAAATATTAAACGATTCCCTGGAGGTGTTTCTGACATACAGCATTCAAAAGGGAAATTCTTTTTCTTCTTTGATGTAACAGCCACCTTGATCTTTAACCAGCCAGAGACTAGAATATTGCCATGGATCGAAACCCCATGACACAATACCTTTTTGCCAAAACCTTCATAATTTTAGGCTTGGTTGAAGACACTGTCATGTTTCATGTTTTTTTTGGGAGTTTGGTCAGTTTGGTTTGGTGAAACGCTCCTGTTCAAACCAAACATGAAGTGAGAACATTGTTGCAGGAAGCTGCACCAGCTGTTAAGCTCTCGTGCCACTCCAGCAGAGTTAAACAGGATATTGATAATGAAATTATCTCATTACAAACAAAAACATATTAAAGGGCTTCCCCAGAACAATGACAAAGATGGGAGGAGATAGAGGGGATTGGAGATGAAGATCAAGTTACCCTGATTGATCCTCTTACAGCCATAAATCAGGAAAGACGCCCTGAGGAGAAAAGCGCTCAAATGTGTTAGTGGTCAGAGCAGTGGTCTGAAGTCTGACTTGACTACTCGATGAAGATGAGAGATTTTGGCTAAAATGCTCTTTGGTGGGTGTGCGTGCGTGCGTGCGTGCGTGTCAAATATTTTGGCAAGTGATGGTACCAGCATTGCCAGACTGATCAGACCGATCACCTAAGACTAATCATTTCTGAACAAACAAAAAAAAGATGACGCTGCCAGTCAATTTACAAATGACTGTGGTGGGTGGCCTGTTTGCCAACTTGCTTTCATTCTCAGCAGAACCTAATCAGACAGATGCCGGGATTAATTTTTCAAGAAGCCTCCACCGTAGTCTTTGCTGCCACTGATGAACATTGTGTGGTTAGAGCTCCCTACATATTAGATTTGAAAGCTGTCTTGTTGGATATGACGAGATACAAGAGTTACAATTAAAAATCAAGATCTGAATCGATCCATGGATTTGTAGAATCGTTATATCCCTAATGTTAACTTTAACTTGACACGGTTTAGCTTTTAGAGCGACCATAAGTGTTGTTGATGCTGTTTTCGCAGTGAAATCTCTTTCTCTCCGTACATACCAGTATCTATTTTTCCATCTCTTAAGGCCATAAAGGTCAGTGTTCATAAATAAACTAGAGGGAGGGAGGGAGGGACGGAGGGAGGGGAAAGTCCATTAAATGTTCATGCTGGACCAGCTCTAATGGCAGTGGCCACCTAGATAAGGACTTCCTGTCAAACAGTGAAGTGAAGGGAATTTGCACCTCACATTGACATATACATGTATTTCCTTGCATATCGTGGTGTGTTGGCTCTATGTTTTTATTTGTCATCAAGACAAACAAATGAACATCAGCAGTTGCTGTGGAGAACATGCCTGTCAGATCCAGTTGATTGCCAACAGGGTTCATCAGGGTTTGTCAGGGTGAAGTGCTGCCCTGAGCTTTCAGACTGACCAAAGTTTGGTCTCAGTTCGGAAGATTTAGCGGTTCAGTTAGAAGTTTACATAATATGAAAAGTGTTTGGCCATTTTAGATCTGAATCATTTCTCTGCTTCACTCCTTGCCGATTAAGAAGAAAAATGTCAGCCACTAAGCCAGCTGACAAAGAGGTCAGAACTTTATAGTACTTTGAGTGGCACAACTTTAGTTGATTGCATTAACCATGTTCACTGCTCATATGTGGCAATCTATAATGATCTATTGAACTGCATTTTCCTTAGAGGGCATTATCAAGATTGAGATCGAAACATTATGATCATCTAGATCCAGTGAAGGAAGGTGCCTTCTTGTAATTTACTTCAGTGGCTTTAAAGTGTTTTGCTGGTCATTTATATATTTATATTCGCTGATTGAGCAGCAAAATGTTCGAAATCACCGTAGTGTTTTGTCCCTGCTGTCCAGTCGCAGTTGTATGACAGCCCTAACAGCAGAACTGTCAAAACCAAAATGGAGGAATAGCTCTTGTCGATTACAACACATGCTATTCAATTTAATTTGACTGGGCAAATATGAACCTTACCTAAACAATGTTGTCATGCAGGTTTTTGTTCTCCTGTTACTTTTGTGGCTTTGATTACCTGAATGTTGTTGCGATCAGTTGTTTGCTAACTCTGGTTTTACAATTGTGATGATTGTGATCAGGATGAAAGTGGCAGGTTTTCAAATATCTGCTTTTCTTCTTTGAAATGGTACACGTCCAATTCCCAGTTCACTAGTTGTTACCGATTGTCTATTCACCACAGTCCATTTTTTTGCATCTCTAGGGAAGAAGTCTTCTATCTTGTGCTTAATTATCCATGAAGGTTGGTGAAAAGCAGCTTTACTCTAAAGAAAAGAATAAGAATCTCATCTGCTTTTTACTAACACGGTTTGCTGTCTGTAAGGGTTTTTCTGCTTTCATGACCAAGTTATTAATGTTTCAGTTTACGTGGTTGATTGCCTCAAATTGTTCATACAGCCAACCCGACAGAGCATTACTCTCAGGGGTTTTCTTTCACAATACCAATTAAATTGTGTAATAAATGATAAGTCAGCAGAAAACAAAGAAGTCATTTGTTACTTGGAGTGCTACTTGCATAACACCAATGCAGACATTTTGCCATTAGTCGTAGCGAAAGCAAACAGAAAATGGCTGCATGCATGTGAGCAACAAATGGAATGGAACGAAAAAGCAAGGAAGCTTGTGGGCAGGGTGGCTTTATTCATCATATTGGGAAAGGCAATTAGCTTGGAGCTAATTAGCAATTTAATGACTGCAGCAAAAACACCACTGACCAGGAGAAAAGGCAGGAACCCACTGGTGCAAATATACATGAACGTGACACTGCTTCTGCTGAGGCTTGATGATGGAGGGAGGGAACAAAACATAAATCATTTCCCCCATCCCCACCCTGTGTGTAAAACCTCCATGAATCAGGGCTCACCTCAGCTCACAGCCGCTCTTCTTTTCACTGCTCAGCTCATGATTTATAAGGTGAACAATGTTGGCAGACAGACAGTTAAAGGTTTTGTTTTCTCTTTCAGTTATATGTCAGTCCACCACAGTGTTATTCTATTCTTTCAACATTTAACACAGCCGTTGTTAGGGTACTATTAGAATGAGCCTTATTATAGGAAAATATATATTTATTATTTTTGTACATCACAATTACCCATTTATATTGTTCTTTGCTGCACCCACATTCTCCCACAATCCATTTGTACCAATCCTGCCTGCCAGTCCTCATTGTGAATTTTCTGCCAGTTTCACCAAATGATTTTATTCCTGTAAACGTTTCAGTTTCTGTGTGACAAAGACCAGATACGCTTTTACAAACGGCCGCCAAGCTGTGAGCTGTGATCCAAGAACAGTAGGTTGTCCAGTGTCCCTCGCAGTGTCCACAGTCTCAGTCTCGCAACACTCCCATTATATAAGTAGTGCTCTATTCTTCATATCTTTCCTATAATCCTTGGTAACTAAATGCTGACCAAAGTTTACATTCAACAAATACATACATTTGCTTCTGTGTCACATTCACTCCATGTTTTTTGTGTTGCCTTCCTGTTGCTTTCCTGCCTACATCTGTTTCATGTGGAAAACCATATATCACTAACAAAATTAAGAAAAATATTGCTGTATAGAATGTGAAAAGTAAGTGCTAGAGCATAATATGAAACAATAGATGTTTTTCTATCATCATATTGTACAGCCTTACTCTGAGGGCTTTCAGATTACTATAAACTGCTGGATTAGCTCACATCCTTGCCAACAATGCATGTGCATATGTAGTGCTTAATGTTATGTTTTCCCCTGACGGTTGCAGGGCAGGGAGGAGTCAAACCATTAAACGTAAAGAGACACTCATCTATCTTTCTTGACATTTTTAACATGTTATCTAATAAATAAAAAGAGT